AATAATAATAATAATAATAATAATAATAGTTTTCTTTTGCCGCAGCCTCCTACGCTAACTTTCATCGCTCTCTCTCTCTCTCTCTCTCTCTCACTCACACTATTTCACTCACTCTCTCTCTCTCTCTTTATTTATATATATATATATAGAATATGATTGCGAAAGAAAGAACTAGAAAAAAAGAAACTATACAGCCGACGTTCGTTTTGCCGCCTAATTATTACATGAAAATATGTAAAAATACAAGTCTTTCTATATTCTAGAATAATAAAATGATCGATCGAATAATCTTTCTTCTCTTCTCTTCTCTTCTCTTCTAAATCTTTTCATTTCCGCTCTTTGAGCTTACCAATCGTCCTTGTAATAATCTCTGCCTATGTTTTTTTTTTATTTTTAATCTATTTTCTTTCCATCTTTCTTTCTTTTCGTTTCGTTTCGTTTCGTTTCGTTTCTTTCATTTTTCTTTTTTCGATTTCACAAAATGACGAAGAATTAATAATAAAAATTCTCAATGAAATCTTTTTAGAAAAACGTTATCTCACTATTTGATTTTTCGAGGCGTTTTGCTTTGTCTTTTTTTTTTCTTTTTTTTTTTTTCTTTTCTTTCTTTATAGGTCATCAATTCAAGGACGACAACAAGTTAACAAACGGAGTTGACCGATTGAAAAAAGACTTTTGACAAAAGTTTGTGTTCTAATTTGTGTGTGTGTGTGTGTGTGTGTGTGTGTGTGTATCGTCATTTTCCAAAATTTTGCGTAAATAATTTTCATAAGTAATTATTATTATTAATATCAGTAACTCACGTTTGCTTGTTTCTCCTTTTAGTGACACGTGTACAAAAAAAGCCTCGTTAAAGCAACACGCGACTCGAAACGTATAAAATAATAATAATAATAATAATAATAATAATAATAGTAATAATAATAATATTAATATTAATAATAATTAATTAATTAATTAAAAAAAAAAAGAGAAAAAAAAATAAACAAATGGACGAGCCGATCTCAAAGGGACAAGATCAGCCAAGCGAACGAAGGGACCAGAAATTGGACTACTTCGTTTAGGTCATATATCTCATAACTGCACGTAAAGCATACAATAATTCCGCCTGCATGCGTGCTTCCAATATCATCAAGTTCACGTGCACCTGTGAACAACGAGATAAATATATTGATTTTCATATTATTTATATGTGAATATATATTGTGTTGGCAAGAAATTGGCTTGCACCAAATAGATAGCATTATGTTTGTTTCGTTATTATTTTGTTAATGTTAGAATTTTCTTTTTTTTTTTTTTGAGGGGATTTGGTACACTTTTAGATTGCTATAGAAACAAATCTCGCGTGTAATTTTTGAATAAACGTAAAAATAAACAATTGAATTTTATTAGACACACTAGACAACTGAAATTACTTTTTTGCCAATTCAATATATTTTTTGTTAATAAAATAATATATAGTTCATAAATAATGAATAAGTTTACTGTAATAATATCACGTTATTTAACATATAAAGATATAAACCTTTATTGAGTGAAATTGGTGTAAGATACGTAAAATAATGTTACAGAATTTATTAAATAAAATGAACAAATCCACCCACGTTGGATTACTAGTTTCTCGACTGATCATTAAAGTCAAACTACGTGGGCACGTTTAATAAAAATGAATTTGATGACCTGTCCGGTGGAATAAAAAGAAAAAGAAAAAGAAAACAGAAACCATGTACCATGTGTTGGCACTCGAGAAAGAGGTAATTGGAACCCGTAAAAGGAAAAGAATAAAAAAAAAGCAAATATCAGCATACCTTTTCACTGTGCTTGAACTCCCTCATGACACGATCATAATCCTTTTTAGTAACGCGTTCCGGATAACAAACAGCACTCTTGATAAATGTTTTAAGACTTCGTTCGAGCAATTGATTAACCTCGTTGTAATCATAATCGTCGTGCCTTATACCAAACATACATTGTATGTAATTCCATATTGCTCGTCTGAAACGAGACGTGTCGACTTTACTGTGCGTACCCATCGTATAGTACGTCAGATTATAAGTCGTCTTGAACTTGTCGTCGAGAAAATTGCCAACGTCGTTGTAAAGTCGATTCACCAAGGAGTAACCGTGGTCATCCCAGGAATAGTCTTGCACGCGGAAGGTCGGTATGTCGTTCAGTTGACCTCGCTATAAATAAAATAGACCCAATGATTTAATGGGTATACGGGGTAGAAGTTCACAGATATTTGCGTACATTTCATTTTCTTATGGGTTCATCATAGAAAAAAAAAAAAAGAGAATCGAATTTTAACACTATACCGTCCGCACGTTTAATTTAGATTTTTTCATGTCACACTGATGGAACTGACTTACATAATTTTGGTTCTACAGTTTTAAATACCACGAAACAGTCATCGAGATGTGCTTGCGCGATAATTTCCGAATAGCATCAACGTGAAACCACCGACACTTATCCGATAATTTTTGCATGACACCAACGTGAAGAGATAAGAAAGAAATCATTTTATTGACTTATTATTCTATTCTTCTTTATTTTCTTCCGCATCAAAGTTAAACGATACGTGAACGTTGAAATATTCATCGTTGAGCAAGGAAAAACAGCACGGTCACATCACCGAGAGATAAAAAGGGGGAGAAAAACTGATGTATTCATCGTAATCCAACCTTGGAATATTTTTTTGACATTTTTGGATACTTAAATAAGTTGCTAACGAAATTTGGCGAAGCGTGATACGTGAACGTAAGAGAATCGGGATGAGTAAAATCAATAAAATATAGTATCGAGATAAGAAGTAAATATGACATTTTGTGATCATCAAAATTGGATATAATACCTTGGCAAAATCTTGGTATATAAAGGAAGGATCTTCGATGAAAAGGCCGATATCGGAGTCAAGTATCATGCTATTTCTTTGAGGTGCAGCCGCCAATTCGGCTGATTGCGTTTCAACCGTTTCAAATCTTTTCGATAATTCTTCTTGCGTTATTTGATAAGACTCGGATTTTTCCGAAAGCCGTTTCATTCGTTCCATTAATGTTTCAACGCCGACCTCTTGTTCACCAACTATACTAGGTGACGATGGAGGAGATGGTACGTTTTCTGTAACACCAAAAAAACAAATAGGATTATTTTTATTGAATTAAATGTAAAGTTTGTAAATATTAATGTGTTTGTAGGAATCTTACCAGTCTTGCCTTGGCCATTTGGAATTTCCTTGGAATTACTAGAAAGTTTTTCTTTGGCAGGTGGCACTTTATTGCTATTGTCCTGGATATTTTCCTTATAATGGTGACCCATTACGTTATCCAATTCTTCGTTTATTCCACAAGAGAATACGAAAGATGACAACGAATGAAAATGGGCCAAAAGAACTATCGCGTGGACTACCTCAGCCAATGACCAATTGTCCGCACCTTTGGTCAATTTCTAGAAGAAGAACAAAATATTAAATACCCAAAAAACAACTCTCTTAATTTTTTAATAAGAAACATTTCAAAATACTTACCTCTATGTGTTCTTTACTTAAAAGCCATGGCCTGTGAGCTAAGATCTTATTAATCTCATAAAGATCTTGAAGTTTTCGTGGTATCGATTTCAAACCTTGAAGCCAGGAAGGTTGACCACCCTGTAGAAGAAACTCTCCTTTCTGCAGGTTAATCAGATAGCTACACTGATGCCTACCTGCGGCCTAAAATTAAAACATACACAAAATAAAATTATATTTGATTACTTATTCCAGAAGTTAATGAGAAAACGAATAAACAGGAAGACAATATATGATAGTGTATGTAAGTAAAGAAACAAACAAAATAGTAAATGTGGAGGTGAAGGTGGAGGAGAGAGAGAGAGAGAGAGGAATCAAAAGGTGCAAAAGGGTAATACGAGCACGCGCAAACAAGACACGTGTTTACCATGAAAACTCAACGGACCAATCGATTGTGGAATACACGATAAGCGATAAGAGATGACAGTAGCTATATATGCACGCACACATATACAGTATGAGTATATACAAACATACAAATATGTCTACAAATACTTCGAGTATAATAGATATATAGATATATGTACATAATGTGTAACTCATAGCGAAATAATCAGACACCACTCTTGAAATAATACATTTTTATAATTTTTGTAATATGTATACAACGATTAGCTTGTTATATATGAAGTATGTATATAGAAATGAAAAAAAAATTACACAATTAAGCGAAAGATGTTATTGAAGGGTGGGTGGGTGTTGAATATATAAAATAAAAAAAAAAAAAAAAAGAAAAATACATGAAGAAAAATTATTTCTTTATATTGGAAGAAAGATAAGGTGATAAGATTTTCTTTGTGAAAATATAAAAGACGCATTTTGTAGAGAGATCATGGTAAAATGTGATGAGTTTATCAACGGCGTTATACATATATATAAAAATAAAAATAAAAATAAAAATAAAAATAATAATTTTTTTTGAACAAATATATAAAACTTCTTCCATAGTTGAAATCGACTCAATTTTTCTTCACGTTATTTTATACAATTCTATCTGTAGTTTAAATAAGATTTTCTAGATCACTTTGTGACAACTACGATAATATTTCAGATAATAGTTAAGATATAAAGTTATAATTGTTTAAGCAGTCTGAATATTTCCATGACTCATTGTACCATCGCGTGACCTCGAACACGTAATATAGCGTCGCTTAGGCTGGCAAAATAGACGAGTATACTACGAGGAGGAGGAAGAGGAGAAGGAGGTGGAGGTAGAGGTGGAGGTGAAGGAGGAGTGTGAGTATCGATATCGAGAAATAATATTGATAGTACATCTCGATATTACTTTTATTAGATGGTATCAAATAATCAGCGCAAAAATACGTGCAACTTGACGGCGACCATAAAAGGTCACTATGTTGAATTGTTTGTCACTCGAAAAAATACCCTCCTATTCACAAATTAAAACAAAAACTTTATCAAATATTTCGACACGATGACCGATACAAAATATAAATTATAGAAAATAATTATTTTCTACCTGTTGACGAACCAATGAAAAGGCTACTAAAGTTCGATAACTTTTATCCGCAAAAGTTAATTGTTCGATGCATACGAAGATTGAAATGCATATTAATCAGCAGCCAGTTGCAATTGAGCGATGGCATTTCTCAAACAAAATCCCCCATGCATTTTTTTTTTTTTTTTTTTTAAAGAAAAACGAAGTAATGAGATAAATGATAGAAATAAAAAAAAAGAAAGGACGATTGCCAAAGCAAGATAGAGAGTAACGAATCGAATGTTTACCGGCGATTAAGGTGTTTTTCAGATATCTTATCGCTTATCGTGTCTCTTCGTCTATACTCTTACCCTCCCTCCCTCCCTCCCTCCTCCTCCACCACCCCCCTTTCATTTCTTTACATGTTTATCCTACTTCGAGATAAAGGTGTTTTTTGGTCGATCAATTTTTCGTCTATTTTCACGCAAGGTCTTACAATGACTTACATTATTTGTTTTCTTTTTCTATGGATTTCTCATTCTATCGCGTTATTAAATTAATACGTTCCGTGCCACGTGTACCACCGATGGTACACATTACCATTAGACAAATTTATTCAATAAACTGAAAATATATGTTTATAACAAATTTAATTCTGTAAAAGAATATTTCTATTAAAGTATTGATGCATTAGACAAAATGCAGTATAGAACAATGCACATATGTCATATTTACAATAATTAATAATTACATGTGTAATGATTGATTTTGTTAAAACAAAATTAAATGGCCTGAATGACAAATCAGGTAAAAAGAGGGCTTATTGGCACGGAACGTGTTATAAATTTTTGTAAAAAGTATCATTCTCTTGTTTTCTCTCTCTCTCTCTTTCTCGAAAATGTTTGTTATTGTTTGTTAATTCTTACGAAAATCATTCGTAAACCCGTTGCAACGTTACTTAACAATTGTTCCTAAGGTAATAGGAAATTTACAGAATACATTAATGTTCAATTGAATTTGATTTGCTTAAAGAAATGTTAATATTATTTATGACATTTGTTTCTTTCTTTTTTTGTTGTTGTCATCGTAGGTTATCGTTGAGTTTACGGGAAACGTGAGAGTACAATAGTTGTATGCTAAAGCATGATGAACTTTGCACTGAAAGAGAAAGAGAGAGAGAAAAAGAGAGAGAGAGAGAGAGAGAGACAAGGGTATGCTACTATAGTGAGCTAAAATTACTCTTTTATCGTTATCTTGGAAAATGGAAACTTCATATACACTTCTAATGTTTGCATGTATAAAAATATATGTAAAAAAAAAAAAAAAAAATATATATATAACTTGACTTAAAGTAAATTCATTGAAAATATAAACGAACAAAGTGTTTTCCACGTTTCATGTCAAAATTATATTTTCAATCGAATTGCTAATGGAGATTTGATTTATTTCAAGGAAGAAGAAATGGGTATATTTCATTTCTTTCTATCAGAGAAAACGTTTACTTTCGATTTCACATAATTCTAAGTAGAGTTTCTCTTATTACTCGCAAAAAAAATAATCCTAGTACGTACTCGTCGAAGAAGAAAACGTTGATTATATTTTATTCTAACAAATCGGCYACAAGAACATACAAACACACACACACACATATCCCAACAAAACCTAATCTTTACAACACGAAGAACAGCACATATTATGAAACTGTCGATGCATTCATTCGGATTTCTTGATAAACTTTGACACGAATGACCCGTAAAAGCTCATCTAACAACTATTATATCAACCGATGAAAAATTTATTTAAAAAAAAAAAAAAAAAACACAAAAGTCAATAAAAAAAAAAACCAAAAAAAAATCACCTAACTAATATGAGTTGAAAACATTGTTCGAGTATTTCCAACTATACTTGATGAAAATGAGAAATACTTTTGTCCAAAGATAATCCAAATGTTCTTTCCACTTTTATTATTTGCTCAAATTAAATTAGAGAGAGAGAGAGAGAGAGAGAGAGAGAGAGAGAGACCCTTTTTGAAAAGATTGCTTTCAATTACGTAAGTATATTTGTTCATTATCTTAATCGTATCAACGTTTGACGTATTAACTTCGACGATCGTACACGCATACTTTTCTAAAGATGTACAACACGTATTTGAAAATGATCGAAATATATATACATGTAGGAAAATAGGAAACAAAATGAAACAAGAAAAAGAAAAATTAAAGAAAAAAATATATATATATATATATATTAGACTCACCATAATAGCTATGAGATGTCTGTAATCGTAGGGTAGTGGTCCATCGCCCCTTAAGATGAAATTTTGGGTTCGAAGGAAGTGATCTAAATACAAAGGATGCGACGACATTACCCTGGAAACATGGTCCAATCTGTTGTTCTGAAGGAAAGCATCCATCAACAATATACGTGTCTGTAAACAAAAAAACAAAAGAACATTTTTTATCAACCCATATGAAAACAATTAATTAAATATCTACAAAATGTAACTAACAACAAACTAACGAACAAACAGTTATCGATAATAAATTGGACAGAAATCTCGTCGGAGGAAACGTTCGTTGATTTAATACAAGGTAAAATACATACTTCAAAAAAAAAAAAAATATATATATATATATATATGTTATAACTTTCGCGTTTTATTAGATAGCCAAAGATATCTCGATCGTTTCCAATTTATCGAAAAATACCCTCGAGATAGTAATAAATAAATTCGAGACAAGATTGTCGAAAAATAAACGAAGATTTTTTGGTCTGATGTTAGAAAAAAAAAAAAATAAAATACATTCAAAAGATGTAGGATATATTAAAGGCATCATGTTTTATGAGATTAATTGCATAATCTTCTTATTTTGTTCATTTTTTGCACGACGTAAAAAAAAAAAAGGGACGGAAGGAGGTTTCCGGGTCAATTCAAATCTTCTCTCTTTCTTTTTCCTTTCTCACTTCTCTTTTTGTTTCTCTCGTAATCGGATGTTTGCCTTGCATCATCTGCCAAATAAACGAGGGAACTTACGTGTATATATATATATATATATATATAGGGTTGTGTGTGACAATATTTCTCTCAACGTGTTGTTGTTGTCTCACACACACACGCATACGTCTCCTCAACTGTGAAAGTGAAGAGAGAGAGAGAGAGAGAGAGAGAGAGAGAGAGAAAAGGAAAACAAAATCTTTGCGTGTTCTAAGCCAATAAAAAATGACCTTAAACTTTCACGTTTAGATCGTGAGAGAGAAAAAGAGAGAGAGAGAGAGAGAGTATTAAAAAGATGACGCGAATAGTAGTCAAGTTTGCACGCGAGCAAACTACACATGCACACACACACACATAACAAAAGTTGTCTTTTAAATCACGTGCTGTCAAAATACGAACACATTCGCGCATAGTCAAATTAATTATTCTAATTAATTAAGATACGAATTATCTTTGATAATCTATTAGGAAGGAAGAAAGAAAAAAAAAAAGGACATGAGAAATAGTTAGCGGATAATTTTTCGCGTGGCCGTGACCGACACGAGTAATATAACCTTGTAACAGGTTGCCAACCCTACACAACACGTCGTCGCACGTGGAATCGAACGCAAAAGGCACTTAGCTTGGCGCCAACTTTCTCTCCGTCTGACGAAACGACGAATCCAAGTTTAGGAGAGGGAGGAGAGGGCCCTAGGTAACCACCACCACCACCACCACCACCACTACTGGTACAAAACGCGTAGGTGGGATTGGTGATCGAAATATTTTATTCGTTCGAGATCGACGACTAGAATAAAATTCTATCGAATGTCAAATACTTGTAAGAGAATACAAAAATTTATCGATGAACTTAAACGATTGGATATTTGTATATAAAAACAAAAAATAATAATATAATTATTGGGGTTGTTTTATAGGATTGATCGAATCGATCGGATTGTAAAAAGAAAGTTTTTAAAAAGAGAGGGAGAGAGAGAGAGAGAAAAATGTACTATTAGAAAGAAAAAAGATACGAACTCGATCAGCTGGCACGGATTTGACTATGAAGACAGGTGTTACTGAATTAACTCGTGGAGGCAATTTGGCTGCATCTTCGGAAAAGCTCGCCAACAAAGTACCGTCCTTCCGAGAAGAAGCGTCTTTCCTTTGGCAACATATTCTGGCAGAAAGCCCGTACGTGCGTGTGGCACATTGCTTTAAAGTTTCGCACGCATTCACATATATATATCTATCTATCTATATATATATATATACATCTTAACGCACGCGTTTCTTCTACCACCACGATTCTTACTATCACAACAACATAACCAACTAACCATCATCATCATCATCATCATCATCATCATCGTCACTACTACCATCTAACCAATACCATTACCTCCTTGTCCTCGTTCAAAACTACCGTACGAGAATAACTTTGAAGATGAGGGTGGAGCCAGGGGGGGGGAGGGAGGACGAGTTGTAACTTCGAGAACGATCACTCAACACACAAGAAGCTCTTCTCTCCTTTCTTTTCGAAATTCTAACCACGCGATAAGAGATCTATGGAGAAGGATTAACGAGCTTTACTTCTCTTCTTTTTTTTTTCTTTTTTTTCTTCTTATTTTCCCTTCCATTTACTTTTATCGACAATTCTGATAAACTTGAAAAAAAGATATTTCCTTGACAAAATTCTTGAAGTACCTTTAAACGATTTTTACGTTTGAAGAAAAAAACCAACACATATATTCGTAACTTCGTAACATATACTAAAAAGTTTTCAGGTATAATATCCATTATCATCATCATTATCATCATTCGTTAATTCATTAATTCATTCATTTACTGGAAAAATTTGATTTGAAAATCCTCTCTCCCTTTATTTCGAGACTCTTTCATCTTTTAAAAAAAAGAAATTTACCAAGTCTGTTTTATCACTAAACGAATAACTCTTATTTGTCGCATACCAACCAACCAACCAACAGTCGCGTAAATACGTTGACCTCGGGGAACACGCGATATCTCTCTCTCTCTCTCTCTCATTTTGTCCATTTCGCTCGACAAACATTTTCAAATTCTCGTTGAAAATTCCTTTTGAGATGTTTACGAAATTGTGTGTGTGCCTCCTCCTGTTGTGTTTATAATAGTAAATTGAATACGTGAGATAGTTATCAGTATTGACATGAGATCTATAAAATGTAACACAATTTTATTTTTGTAAGATTATGAATATTTGAAATGAAAAAAAAAAAAAATAATTGATTTATTAATTATTTAATCAAATGATCGTGTTTCTTTTTTTTAAAATATAATTAAAATATGATTTAAACTTCAATAAATAAATGTATAATATTTGAACGTTATACACACGAGTTTACAATAATTATCTAGCAAAGATAGAAATCTTATCGATCAACGTCCTTAGATTTTCATCGAAGATGGTAGAATGGTTTCTCTGGTATTGTAAAATGGAAATAAACATGTTACATCGTTCGAATGAATTCTCATTCGTCATTTAGCAGCGATTGATTATCAAATCAACAAATGGAATAACAATTTCGTGAATACATAAGTAAATAAATTATCAACGTCATACGAACAACATGTTATAATACTAAGACACAATTATTTAAATTAAAAAAGATACAAACAAATCTAACAAGAAATAGAATGTTACAAGATTGTAAAAAAAAAAAAAAAGAAAAAAAAAAGTAATGTTTTATTTCTTTCCTCATTAAATTGAGATTCGATTTTAAATAGAAATCTTCATGAGAATTCTATTGGAAAAAAAAGAAATTCTACTCACAAAATAATCGTAGTAAAATCATCACGTGAAGTGAATTTTCTTCAAAACCCCATAAAAATATTCGTTGCGTTGGCCGAACTAAATGTGGAAATACTTCCATAGAAACCATGATATATTTTAAAGAGCCGTCGTTTTTTCGAGGGATCATTTCAGTTACAACGAAACATGCTATTACGATGAGTGAAAACTCAAATAGAAAAATAACAAGACGAGAAAATATTTCCAATATCTAGAAAACATCATTTTTATACCTGTACAAAAAAATTGTTCTAACAATAGTATAGAAAAACATGGACAAAGATATTTCCGATCTCGTTGATTCAACAAGCAAAACGCGTAAACATATTGACGATAGGAAGAAAGTTCTTTTATAATCTCTTTGACTTATCCTCTCGAACGACGAATTATCAAAAAGTACCAAGTTCTTTTGATAACAATTGTATTATTATACTTGTTTTGTTCAATCTTAATTTATCGATTTATGACTTGGACTATAAAAACAACACAACACAACACAACGGTAACAAAACTGATGTGTGTTGTATGTGTGATTTGTTTTTTTTTTTTTATGGGAAGAAAAAATGAAAAAAGAAAACAAATCAGAGATCGAAGTCAAAGAATATAATCATTGATTAGCATTAATTAAAAGAAACATCTTATTTTCTAAAGCAAGTATGGTTGTAACAAGGTCTTACGATGCTTTTATATACTAACAAGTCATTATTACGGACAGCTGGGTGTGCCCGCATATGTCTTAGCAGAAGAAGAAACTCTGAGATAGAGAAAAAGAGAGAAACACGAAGATCGAAATGTCAAACACACAACACACAACACACATTGGCTATCTTGATAGGTTAGAAAGAATCATCGAGGAAAAAAAAAACGAGGAAGAAACAAGGCGGGGGCGGAGGGTCAAAAAGGAATAAATAAAAAAAAAAAAATTAAAAAAAAAGCACGTTTACTCGTAGGACCCAGAGAACCAGTGATGTTGCGTAAACTCTTTCGTATATTACGACAATAAGAAAGTTTATTCGAATAAACGCCATGTGTTTTGTAATTTAAAGTACTTTACGTGACACGTACTCGATAGCAAATTATTCTACAAAAATTTGAACAAAAAAGCTACACGATTATTTTTTTTTATATATATATATATCTCATTATTAAATTATAGAAATTGAAACTTGCACTAAAAAGAAACAATATAATTAAAAACAAATACATTAAGAATCATTTAATAGATAAAATATTATCTTGAATTATCAGTAATCGGGGCTTTTTTTTAATTATTATATATAATATTAAATTAAATCTCAGCGATATACGACACAATGTGGCTTATAAAATTATATTTTTAACAAAATGTATAGGATTGTTCTTTTTTTTTTCTTTTTTTTATTGGAAAATGAAATCTTTTTTTTAAAGAGTATCGTAAATCACAGAAATTAGAATGTTATAAAAAGAATATGATAACAAATTAATTGGTAAAAATAAAAAGACATTATATTTAACTATTCAAAGTTACCTTTATATTTTCATATTGTACAACAATTTAAAAATATCTCTTAACTATCACAAATAAGCTTGAACTATTATCATCATCATCATCATAACTTTGAACAAAAATTAACAAAAGGTGCAATAA